CTTAAATAAGAACATAATTAAGAGGAATCGAGTTTGTTATATTCATAGTTAAGGGAGGTTGGGACACCACGTGCTAAACTTCCGCCAAACGTCCTTGAAAAAAGGAACACGAACAACAGGACACAAGAGCTAAACGACACAGAATAATTCAAAACTATTCATTAGAGTTTATTCGGGGAATTTGTCCTTACAATTTTAAGATACTTGTGATAAGAGAAGATTACTTACAAACGAAAAATAAAAGACGATTTTGCTGAAAAGAAGACGTTATGCTTTTTATAGTAGTCCTTTCCTGGAAATTTTTCATAGAGAGGCTTTTTAACCTTAACTTTTTAGGTGTATGGATATTTTAGGTCTAAAATTCGAAGCATGATTGGATAAAATTGAAATTGAATCAGAATTATATCATCGACTGCTATTTCTGGATATGATATCAATGACTAATGAATGTAATTAGGTAAAATACCGAAATATCATGGACACTAGCTCTGCCTAACTTTATGACAAGAACGGTCACCCTATGTGTTTATGCCGCGCTTTCAGCTCCTCCATATGCACATTGTTATCAGGCCAGATTTCGACCAGGTACACTTATGCAAACTTTTAAGCTTGAGCATTATAGAGAAAAACTTGAGATGCTTATAATCCGGTAGCTCCACTATCAAAGTTTCCCTCTTGTTCCGTAGGATCTCCCTACTTCGTTGCTGCCACCGTATCCATGTTACTTAAGGTGTTATGTTCTACACCCTGCCTCAAGCCTTTGATATCACTTATTCACCAGCCTCACTGAGCAAGCCCCTAAAGTCTGGATTCTCAATTGGCATGACAACCTAACTTGACACTGTAGATTCCATTATCACTGTGCCGCATGTGCACCAAGTAAATCTCGTGGTCAAGCCTTTATTTCATGGACCACGTTTATGAGAAATTGTATCCACTAATATTTCATATATAAGCAGAGCTTCGACACTACCAGTAAATCAGTTATATGAGATGTATTCACGATATTTCGTTAAGATGATGAAGGACTGGTAGTAGAATTTTCCCACAATGATATGAGTAGAGCTGACGCTTCTATTGAATTTCACGTAGCCTTGCTTTTCCAAAAGTTGTTTTCATCTAGGATGGATTGCATATAACTAATTTAATGGAAGTCTCGAAATTCTTCATTTATACGAAAAATAAGTAATGTAATCGATTGTTATGGCAAAAAATAAGTTTGCTTAATCGACAATCCCACAAAAGAATGTGATATGAAAAAAAACCTGGTCTTCCTTGAAATTAACATCTAGCCTGTGACCCAAGGGCATTCGTGACAATGTGGCTTAGTGGTTAACGTGTCAAGTTCACATGCTGCATTGTCACGGCTCGACTCCCGCTGAGGGTGTTGACAAAACCTAGGCCATGTCGAAACTGTAGTCCACTCTGGATGGGAGCAACTTTTGGGAAAGCAAGGCTATGTGAAATTCAATGGAAACGTCATCTCTACACATATCATTATGAGAAAATTTTAATACTACTCCTTCACCACCTTAAACGAAATAAGGTGAATACATCTTATCCAATAATAGCCAAAAATCGATGTTCCTTGTCGCATTTATCACTCTTCTATCCATATTGCTAAGTCTGTGATTTTTCTATTCCCTAGTCTCTTCTGTGGCAAATGCCAAGTGTTATACTTGTTCAAGTTACTTGGACTTTCCTCACTGTTTGTTGCTCTGTTGTCTTAAATTTAAAATATTTTTTTTATCTACCCGTCTTCATTATGCTGATCTTTCTATTCCATGATCTCTTATGGAAATAATATTTATGGCATTATAATATGGCAGACTCAGATCAACGTTCCCAACACAATGGTAGGGGTTGAGGTTAGAAAGCCAGCGTGGGGTGGGAAGTGGTTTATGAAATCCGCTCAAAATGGCACACTATACTACATTTAAATAAACAATTAAGAAAATGTGTTAGTGTAGGATTGGTACGTGAATATAGGATCGGTGAATAGCCCAGGACAGGAGAGATGCCACAACTGTTTAGTAGACAATTGGTCAAAGGATAGATTTCAGTTGTCTCTGACGAGTTATAATTTGGTGCTAAGACTGGTAAGGCTCACTGACGATGACGACTATAATGCCGGTGAAACGTCTGGGAATGTATCAAGCCTACGGGCAGACTCTGGAAATTATCATGCATACTATTGACTCCGGACAAGGTGCATTCTTCTAGTTTTCTTGCCAAAATTACCAAGTTGCCAAGACAAGGCCAAACAACTTGTATACAACGAAAGAAGACCGCGACCATACAAGTGGCCACACCATCTTGGTCTTCATACCTTCGATAAAAAATAGAACGTTCGGAGAAATATAGCATAATAAATATGTTAGTGGAAAAACTTGAGCTAGAGGAGAAATCGCATTTAAGTCGACTTGGGCATTTTATGAGGTCGGATTTTTGGGGTTGTCTTAGTTTTGAAGTAAACGACTATTCAATTCCCTCCCAATAAAACCTACTCAAAAATCCATAGCCCATGGGCTGAGTGAGCTATAAGATTAGTAACGATAGACTTACTTTCGTTTTTATTTCATTCTTATGGAAACCAATTTGTATGACAATAGCTATTCATACGAAATGAAAGTCTCCCCGACAATAGGTATTCAAATGAGGAAAAGAAATTTCTATATATTCGAAAAATTTCAGTATTAATAACACTTTTTAATATCCTGTAAACCTCGATCGTTATTACTTTTCTTTTGCTTTTCTTGTAATATCAATTTCTGCAATGACTGCCGCTCTAAATGGACTGTTGGGCTGATTGTAGGATGCCGAGGGCAATACACCGCTTCATCTTGCAATTCAATTTAGACATACGAATGTCGCCCAGCTGCTCATCACTTCAGCCATCGGTATTGACCTCTGTTTGAATAATGGTGCTGGACAATCCGCCTTCCATATAGCCATGGACTATCGTGATCAGGCTGTCGCTCGCCTCCTAGTTGACAAAGATGATAATATCGCCGTACAGGTACGCTTCTGCAATTTATCTCTATTTGGTTGTTAGTCGAGCTCAGGGAGGCCATCCCTTAATCCAGCGATTGTACTCTGCTGTCCAGTTCCGGCGCGGGGCTAGCCTTTTGATCAAGACATTTTTTTATAATATAGGGATTCTATTATCACCCATTTTTAATCCAATGCCAATATTAATATTGTCACTAGACTTAACTATTTCAAGACATGATATTCTCATTTTTGAATTTCCTTGATGGGTTGAAACCTCAGGAACTTAGCTTTCTCAACCGAATTCGGTTTAATTTGGAACCCTGTAGCCTATATCCTCGTGTGAGGATCGTGAAAGTCGTAGCGAAACAGTCACGTGTCCATTGGCCACAGGGCAGATATGAATTTTAATATAAGCCATGCCTCTCCAATATCATATTTATGATCAGT